CCCAGGCCTCTGGTAGAGGACCCGAGATTGAGGAAGACACATCCCACCCATAGGGGTGAGAGGGGATATACATGCATACTTACATACACACGCACGCACGCACACACACATTCTCTAGTTAATTTCAGAACTGGCTTGTGTGCGATCTCTTCAATTTATTCGGGTAATCTTCCCCTTGAATATAAGATATGGGCACGCATGAGTGACTAGGCACATAAAAAACATCCCCTTTAATTTAATGGAAAACACAGTCATTTAATTTCAGCTCCTTTACTGTCCCTAAGAATTCCCAGATGAGAAATGCACACCGAGGGAAAACAGATTGCCTGGAAGCAAGGTAATTAATTTCAGGAAAAGGCTGGGCCAGTTTCATAGCCTCACTTTGATGAAGATAAGGAGATTCACATCTGGACTCTGTATCCATTGGTGCCTCTAAATTTTGAAGCACTGAACAATGTCCACCTGTTAGCATCCATTAAATGGAGCCTCCAGCTAGACTATCAAGTGCTTTAACTAAAAGAAATAGCAGTAGATTCTGCACAGAATTGCTTGATTAAATAAAGGGAGGGGGACAAGGGGCTTGGGAAAGTTATCCTTTGTGCACAAGCAGGGGCTATTTTTTGAAGGGTATGGACAGACATGCAAATCAAACTCAGTGCTTTGTGCTTTGTGCGCTTTACTGGAGCACACTTTACTTTCCTATAGCTATTCTTGGATGCACACTAATCACCTATCTCATTCTCTGGTTCAGAGGCAATTCTAGTCTAGTCTTTTCACCATGATTTTTACTGCAGGTTAGGTGATCGATTTTGTCCAGCATAAATGTATCAGTCCTAAATGTTCAAGGACAAAGGGTGGAAAACCGTTTACTGTCAAATACTGCTCTTTTAGCCTAAAAAATAATGTTTTAATTCCCTGGATGCATGGCTTAACTGCAATGGAAAGTATTTCTGTTTATTTAAAACATTTATAACCCACTTTTATCTCAAAGAATCTAAGGCTGCTAACAATAAACATCTTGCCACTTCCGTTATCATTTTACACTGTAATCATAGACTCATTTTCCTGGAATAAGTAAGTGTCATGAAGAAAGAGAGGAAATATGAGGATTTTGAGAAGCGGTGAGAGTTTCAGTTCAGCCAGAGGGCATTCAGGAGTTGCATTTTCCTCACTTTTCCAAATGGCAGGACTTTCTATACAGTCCTCCCTCATGATTCTCATCACCCCATCCAGCATGTTTCTTTACCTATGCATACAAAGAAAGATGCTGGATGGGGATAATGAGAATTCTGAGGAGGGAAGGAGAGAAAGAAGATTTGTAAATTATTTCAGTGAAAATGTTCTGGGCTCTGGTATTCTAGAGGTCAGCCAGGCATAAGATGGCTAGCATCCTAATAGGTCCATCAACAATGTGCAATTTGAGTAGAAAGTGCTCTGATCATGACAAAGGACAGATGTTAATGTACTCTAGATTCAGATCACATCTCATCTGCTCTGTGTAAAGAACAAATCAACTATGTGCCCATCTATGTGCGTTAGAGCCATTCTTACCTGTGAGATGGTTATCATGGTTGCCATGATCTCACAAGCCACTCTGGAATCTTCTCCCAGAGTGTGAGGGTTCATGCCTCTAGAGACCAAAAGCTTTGGGGACTCCAATGCCAGCCCTGAGATGGCTTCTAGGTGTTTATGGATGGTTAGTACACTAGTAACGGTCCAGACTGTCACTATGGCCCAACTTAACAGACACATGCAATGGTCATCTCCAGGCCAGTGCTATTAGTGATTGCAATGATCTCATGAACAGTTGCAGCAACACCTCTCTCCACTCTTGGCAATGTGGTTGCTGTAGGACCTCATGACTTGAGCCAGCATGTTTGCCCAGGAGGGCAAATTTCCAGCAAAGCCACATTACCAGGTCTCTTCTGTAGGGCCAATGTCTTCAATACTCCCAGAGACTTTTGCATCAATGTATAAAAAAGTTACAGTGCTATGGATCTCAGATAAATGAACTAGTCATCATGTGGTACTTGTGATGACTTGAGTTTGAATCTAGGGGTTTACATAATAGAAGCAACCCAATGTTAATGAAGAAACTTCAATTGTCCATATGGCTATGAATGTTTGCAACACTGAAACTCACATGCATAGATAATTGCAAAATGAAATAGAACATTGTTCTTTTAACTTTGTGAAGCTGCCCAGAGTCATGTGGAGTTGGGCAGTCAAGATAAGCAAGCATTTAAAATATATAAATACATAACCATTCCAGAAGATAACATTTCCACGGAACCATAAAATCCTTTTTGTGCAATTTAATATGGGTCATCTGGAAAAATATCTGAACCAGAAAGTTCAGATGATCCAATATAATGTTCCTGGAAAATTATGGGGAAGCACACAATAATCTTCTGGGGGCAGATTCTCAATCTGAAATAGTGATCCATACTTTTATGAAAATCTCTCTCTCTCTCTCTCCACTTTCAAAAGAGACATTTTTTTTCTGCCTTTTTGCCAAAGAGTGGGAGGACTCAGAAGAAATGTCACATGTAGCAGTGCTATACATCTTAAGTTGCAACCCTGTGCAAACTTCCCTAGCAGTAAATCCCATTAAACTCAACTAAATTTAGTTTTAAGTGAACATGCATAGGATTGTACTGTAACAGCTTCAAAGTACTGCATTCTCTTTGCTGTTGTTATATTATTTTTATTGTGCCACTCATTAAATCTGGAATACTAAAAAGAACTCCTAAAGTATTATGTACATTATCTGCTTTACAGCCTGGTCCAATTTTAGAAGTCTGTGACAATCAGTTAATAATGTTTTTTTCTAAAGATCCATCACTCCTATTCAGAAGCTCAATAACCCTCATAACTCAACATCTTTTTTCTGTAGTCTTCTTGGACAAAAATGATCTCATAGTTAGCATTATCGCTTATGTCTGGCTGAGAAAAAAAGAATGCATCATTGCCTGCAAAGAGTTTCATATTAGCATTTGTCGTTAGACATATCAGAGATATAAACAACAACATATTGAAAATAAAAGTGCGCCAACTTTTGTTGTATCCAAACAATACACTGCATGGATGATAGATAGATAGATAGATAGATAGATAGATAGATAGATAGATAGATAGATAGATAGATAGATAGATATGTGCTATCCATTCAATTGTGTCTGATTCTCAGCGATTCTATGGAGCAGCTCTCCCCACATTTTATGATCCTGTATGGCTTCTTTCAGTTGCTGATCATAATGTAATCATCTACAAATCAGAAATCCATCACAAATGCCTACCTGTTACTTTCCCTAAGGTCAGCGATTTGATGGCCCTGAACTCAACCTCGGAGGAAAAGTTGTGCTTGACTTTGAGAACCTGGTCAATCTGGAAAGGAAGCAAAAAGTGGAGGATGTCAATAAAAGCAATTGCATTATTATAGCCCGCAGTGAGACCCCCAATGAATCTATGACACATCATGTAAGTGGAATATTCATAACTTTTTTTTCCTGCTGGATATATTAGGTTTCAAAGGGTGCAAAATAAATGTGCCTTAATTTTTCAGTGAATGCTAAAAGGTATAGCAGAATGTCTTTAAATCTGGGTTTTGAAGAAACCTCCCTTGCAGGAAACTTCCAATGATTATTCCGATTCCTGAAAAGAATTTTTTACAGTGATTAATCTCTGTAGCAAACAAGAAGATGAAGTTTGGCTGGACATCTCTCATCCTGGGCTGGGAAAGGCACACAGAATGGTGTAAGATTGGAATGGCAGTCTAGAGTATGTTTCTGTTTCTAAGTCTGAAAAAAAGCTGGTGCATTCAATGCATGGTATTAACAATACTTACCCAAGCAAGTGCCTATATATTGTTATACTCTTGTGCTGGAATGCAATTTTTTCCCCCAACATTTATAATTCACTCCAACATGAGACTCATCTCAGGCAACTCTTCCCCATGTTTGCCCAACACAGATTTTGAAAGCAGCTGAATAATTCTCCAAGCCTGTAACTGTCAGTTTTATCATTCCTATATCTGTGCAGGTCAGACATTGTTGGGAAGCTGCCTGATTTGTTTTCCTAGGACTGAATTTAGCCTGGACTCTTAATCAGCTTGATGTTAATTTTGCTTTTAGTTTGTTATTTTGTAATTATGTAACTCCTATGCCAAGTGCCACACAATAGCAGAACGGGAGTTGAGAAATGGAGGAATGTAAATCAAGAGGTGTTTAGAATTCACTGATCTTTCATTTTGTGTCAAAGCAAAGAATTATTAGAATAACTCATAATCAGTCTTCTGACCACAGATGCTTTATAGTGTAATTAGCAAAACTGAGACAGAACCATGCTATTTTGGGAAATTAGTTTTGAAGTCATTAGGACAAACCTTTTGAATTGTATTCTCTTGGATACAGGATGAGCCAAATGCAAGATATGTGTTCATGAATAATTCCCTAAAGAAGGCACAAGCTCCTTTTGATACTGTAATCCTTAATCAACCTATAAATTTAGCTTTAACTTAAATGTAACATGAAGCTCATTATATATTTCTTTAATGCATCCTAGACCTGCAATCAACTAGTGTTGATCAGTCGCATCAGGAGTCAGTCATTTTTTTTCCCTTTTCCTTTTTTAAATTCTTTGTTGGCATTTTCCTATAATTCTTCCTTTAGGTTTCTCCCATATCTGTAACCATGGCATTTACCAACATGGCATTTTTTACTCCTTTTCTAGTTGATCTTTCACATTCCAAATATAGATAAGAGGAAGTTCTATTCTCTCTTTGGCTTTCTTCTGCCTTAGTAATGTATCAAAGTATGCGTTTTTAGTCTTCTCTGCTCCTTGGTATAAAGAATTTAAAGAACATCTTTATTACAAAACCTGCTAAGATCCCATCAGTTCTGATAAGGGAAGGAGATGAAAAGTCACACATTTTTTTCTCTCTCTGTGTTTCTATTCTCCAAAACCTGTAGCCTATTATTTTACGTATGTGGATGGTACCATTCTATTAGCAGAAAGTGACCAAGGCTTACAAATTTTATTTAAACAAGTATACCAATTGAGTTAACCTTACAGGCTAATTATAAATCAGAAGACAACAAAAACAACAGTCATCAGTAAATATTAAATCCCTAAACTGAATATTATACTAACAAGAAAAAAGTGGAGTTCTTGGTGCTCTCTGAACTTGGTTTTCTGCAAGCAAACAACCAAGCTCAGAGAACACCAAGAACTCCACAGTTCAACCCTTAGCTACAGATAGTCTCTTCTAGGGAAAGAAGTACCAAGGGTGCAATGATATAAATACCCAGGCTGTATTTTGAATGATATGAGATCAAACCATGGCAATAAGGAATGGGGCTGAACAAAGGAGAATAGCTGTTTGAAAAACAAATACATTTAAGATTTCTTGGCTGACTGTATACTGTTGTGACTTGCCAGTTATTTTGTATGGAGTAGAAGCATAAGCAATGACCCAAATGACAATCAGGAGGATAGAAGTCTTTGAAACATACATTTAAAGAAGATTACTTAAAATAGCATGGCTTGAATATGTACTAAATGAGTCAATCCTCCTAAGAATGGGCAAAGATAGAGAAATTGTGAATAAAAGTAAAAGAATGAAAGGGCATGTGATCTACTAAGACACATTGAGACTGGCATAGTCTCTACTCCATTAGTACAATGGCACAGTTAGAGAGCAAGAGATTGATTGTGGGAACAGGAACTGCAAGTGGTAACAGGACTGAGAATATCAGTCTAACCAGTGTGGGGCATACTACATACTGTAAAAGAGGGAATGTTAAAGAGTCAAACAGCAGAATCCCTACAGTAGCACCAACTTGGTGTATTGCCCTTAGGGGCAATAGTTTGAGAAGGTGCAGTGAGACAGCACATACAGACATGCAACTACCAACAGAAACAAAATAAAAATTGCTTCTCCATTCCTGGATATTCAAGATCAAGAAGAATCAAGAAGGGAGGATCTATTGCTGACTGGAACCCCTTTATGGACTTTTTGCATAAAACAGGGGGAGAAATGAATTTATGATCTATGGTTTTGACAATAAGACAGGATAGATTATAGAAAGAAGAGAATCATGATGTAACTTTAGAGAAAGAGGTAAATTTACAATTGTACTTATAACTGCTGTAAAGAAGATGAAAGCTATTTCTTTATATCCTTTTTCTTTCTTTTCTATTTTTCTTTTACCTTTTTTCTTTTTGCACTCTAGCTTTCTCTTTTATTTCTTCCTTTTTCTTTCTTATTCAATTTCAGTTTGTATTAATTGTTACTCTTGTTTTTAAAACTTTCAATAAAATTATATTTTAAAAAGAAGGGGGGATCTATTGCTTCATTTCTTCAGGGCCTTTCTTGGTAGTGGCCAGGATACCCAATAATTGTAGGAAGACTGGTCTCTAATACATTATTGAAAGTGAAGGCCTCCAAAACAAGAAAGATCAAAAATTGACAAGAAAGGGTCAGGGTTATAGAACTGCACAGAATTAAGACATACTGATTTATATGTGTAGATGCTAAATTTTACATTATTAATTGAGTAGGTTCCATGAAATGTATTAGTGGGTTGAAGAGTTTGATTAGGTAACGTGCATGTTTGCTCATTCTACTAATTGTTGATAGGCAACTGATCAAGGCAGCTGTCCCTCCCTTGCCCTCTGCCAATACAGTTCTTTATCTTAAATTTGTCATATACATCCTTAGTCCTACTTAGGCATTACTGAACAAGGTCAAGTCAACAAATCATATGACTTATGTGTAGTTTCAGAAACCCCTTATTGTGTTATAATCAATGCAAGTGGAATTTTATATTGGAAAGACTCCTCACTATAGACATAAAAAACCACAAAATCACTAATCACATGCACCCACACCATGCTAACATCTCTCCCCCAATAAGCCAGGTCATCACAGCCTTCCCAGCCTCAGGAAAGGCCAATAAAGGCAGGCACCATAACAGAGAAAGTACATTTCTGGGGATGTGCCAGATGAAACTGTTTTATTGATGGTACCTGAAGCATGCCATCTCTGCCAGATCTGATGGGTGGGAAGAAGCCAATGAGGAGAGGCGATCTTATAAAGATGACCTCACCCAGTGGTTTCATGAAGACATTAAATAGGTCTGGAGAGACAGTAGAGCCCTGTGGCACCCAGGAAAGCAGGGACCTAGGGATGGACCCCTACCAACACCAACTGCATCCAGTCTTGGAGGAAGGATGAGAATCACTAAAGAACAATGCCTCCCACTCCCAACCCACTCAACCAGTCCAGCAGAACCCCCATCCTGAGCCTACCAGAGCTCATCAACAAGTATGGCCAATACTGTGCCAGTGCCCTGGCCTGAAACCTCATTGCCATGGATCCAGATAGAAGCCGCCCAGAGTAATTGAGAGTTGTGTGGCATACAAGTTTAAATAACAACAACAACAACAACAACAACCCCCAGTGAGGTACTACCTTGATGTGGTTGTGGGGCTTGAGTGCTCTGAGGAGGATGAGAGCTATGCCAGAGGTTCA